ACCAGAATGCCACTGTTTGTCTGCCGATGGGTCCAAGTTCAGCCAGATTATTCTGTTAAGGTCAGAACAAAAAACCAAGTATTCGAAGAAGAAAGGCAGGTTTATCCATCCATCTTCTTCCGCTCGCCCGGTTTCGGGTCTCAGGGGTAGCAGCTTCAGTAGGGAGGCTCAGACGTCCCTCTCCTCAGCCACTTGGGCCAGCTCCTCCTGGGGAATCCCAAGGCGCTCCTAGGCCAGCCGAGAAACATAGTCCCTCCAGCGTTTCCTGGGTCTCCCCCTGGGCCTCCTCCCGGTGGACGTGCCTGGAGCACCTCACCAGGGAGACGTCCAGGAGGCATCCTAACCAGATGCCTAAGCCACCTCAACTGGCTCCTCTTGATGTGGAGGAGCAGCGTTTCTACCCTGAGTCCTCCCCGGTTGACTGAGCTCCTCACCCTATCTCTAAAGGGGAGAGTCCAGAAACACTATGGAGAAAACTCTTTTCAGCTGCTTGTATTTGGGATCTCTTTCATCCGGTCATGAACCAAAGCTCATGACCGTAGATGAGGGTAGGAATGTAGATCGACCAGTAAATCAAGAGCTTTGCTTCTTGGCTCAGCTCTCTCTTCACCACAACAGACCACGCTTCACAGCAGATGCCACACCAATCCACCTATCGATCTCCCGCTCCATCTTCTCCTCATTTGTGAACAAGACACCCCAAGATAATTAAACTCCTCCACTAGGGGCAGTACATCCTCCCCAACCCAGAGAAGGCACTCCACCTTTTTTTGGCTCAGGACCTTGGTCTTGGATTTCGAGGCACTGATCCTCATCCAGGCTGCTTCACACTCGGCTGCGAACCGCTCCAGTGAGAGCTGTAGATCACGCCCTGATGAAGCCAGTAGAACCACATCATCTGCGAATAACAGAGATGCAATCCTAAGGCCACCAAAACACATCCCCTCAACACCTTGGGTGCGCCTAGAAATTTTGTCCATAAAAGTTATGAACAGAATCGGTGACAAAAGGCCGGAAATTAGTTCAACTTACTGCCAGCAATGCAGACCAGGCTCTGACACCGGTCATACAGAGACCTAAAACTAATATCCTACATATCAGGACAGCTTGCAATATCCTGTTGTGACTATGATAACATTATGGGTTTATTTCTTGAATGGTAGTGGATCAATGTATCTTTAGGTGAAATCACTGGGCAGCAGGTGAAGATGAAGCCTAAAAAAAGTTCTAATAGAAGGAAACAGACCCCTGGACATTGCTAATAGACAAAGCAAAACTCATTGTCACAGCCGGCACTGGTTTTCCATCTTAAATTAGACTGCGCTACCTAAGTGATCTCTCATAGTTGAAGACACAACCTCGTGCTACCTCATGGGGTGAGACACTGACAAAATGTAAAAGTGACCTCCATGGATTCATGAGTAAAAGTAAGTAATACTGATACTGGTGATAGTAATGCTACCTCTGTCAGATGTTGCCAAATAATGTTCTTATAGTTCCATGGTACTGCCAGCAGATGGCACCATGTCTTTTTATGTTTTCTTATTGTGCCCAGTGCTGAAAATCTAGGCTGAAAATTAGCTTTCAAAGCACCATTAGGATGGACCTTTGGTGTAATCTTTTATTATCAATTTGTTTTTGGTTTTCTTTTGTATTAGCATATAATATGACTATGCACTTTTAATGACTTAGACTCAACTTTATCCCTTGGGATTAGTCCTTCAGGGAAATTTTGGATCCAGTAGCTTATATAGAGTACGAGGTAAAGCAAGATGCCTTTAAAGATACGACAGACAATATAAAAAAAGAGTGTATAGTACAAAAAAGCATTAAAAAAAAAGAAAAAATGTGTAATGTCCTGAAATATATTTCCTTTAAATATAAAACTATCTGCACTGCACTAAGGGAAGACTACATTGGCGTTTACTTGGATTATTGCACTTGTGCTGCAGAGATGTACTGTCCATTTAAATAAGTATAATTAACCATAGGTATTCCTGGGTAGGTGTGCAACCGTTTCTTGCATTTACTTGATCATATTTAGTTACTTTAACAAATTTTTTTATGTTAGTAGGGTAGGACATAAAACAATTGTCTTAAAGTAACTGCATGTGATTATATAAATGCCAAAAGCAGTTGCAATATTTTTTTCGGTGTATTTGTATGGATCCACAGCATCCACCTCAGCCCCCTCAAGTAGTACCGGCTTAGTCTTTGGTCCGTTCCTCCCAAAGTATATGACCAGCTCCTTGAGATGTTGACTTTCAGGTGGTTGGTGCACCACCAGCTGGCAAAGTTCCCCACCAGACTCCTGTACTACTCACCTCTGTTGTCCTTGATACACCCCACAATGGCTGTGTCATCAGATTTAATCATTTAATGTACATTAAACCTACACATCTGCACTTATCACAACATTTTACACCACCACAGGCATATGGCTAAACAACAAGGCTNAGTACCCTGATTGCCAAAGTGCACTAGAATTTGGCAATTTGGAATTTGGCAATTTTCTAAACCAGAATGCCACTGTTTGTCTGCCGATGGGTCCAGGTTCAGCCAGATTATTCTGTCAAGGTCAGAACAAAAGAACCAAGTACTCGAAGAAGAAAGGCAGATTTATCCATCCATCTTCTTCCGCTCATCCGGGGTCGGGTTGCGGGGGTAACAGCTTCAGTAGGGAGGCTCAGACGTCCCTCTCCCCAGCCACTTGGACCAGCTCCTCCTGGGGAATCCCAAGGTGCTCCCAGGCCAGCCGAGAAACATAGTCCCTCCAGCGTTTCCCGGGTCTTCTCCTGGGCCTCCTCCCAGTGGGATGTGCCTGGAACACCTCACCAGGGAGACGTCCAGGAGGCATCCTAATCAGATGCCTTAGCCACCTCAACTGGCTCCTCTCGATGTGGAGGAGCAGCGGCTCTACTCAGTCCTCACCAGATGACCGAGCTCCTCACCCTATCTCTAAAGGGGAGAGTCCAGATACATTATGGAGAAAACTCTTTTCACCTGCTTGTATTCGGGATCTCTTTCTTTAGTTGAGGGTAGGAATGTAGATCGACCAGTAAATCAAGAGCTTTGCTTCTTGGCACAGCTCTCTCTTCACCACAACCGGCACAGTGCCCGCTGCACAGCAGATGCCGCACCAATCCACCTATCGATCTCCCACTCCATCTTCCCCTCATTTGTGAACAAGACCCCCCAAGATAATTAAACTCCTCCACTAGGGGCAGTACATCCTCCCCAACCCGGAGAAGGCACTCTACCTTTTTTTGGCTCAGGACCTTGGTCTCGGATTTCGAGGCACTGATCCTGTCGAGTTAAAAAAAATATGAGCGCTGAGAGTTGATATTATAGGAAGAAAAGGCTTTATTTTACTCTGCAGAGGAGAACACACGACCTGCCTAAATGCAGTTAAGTGACATTCTGAGGCTGCAACATTCTCACCCCTGCCTAAAAAGGGGACTACACACACACATTTAGCTCGTCAAAGGACAGAGATAACAATTGTTTCCCATTCACACCAGGACGTGAGAATCCTGACTTCCTTTCAAACCTCCTTCCTTTCCTTTCATCTCAACAAGGCTTCTGAGATCATATTTTTATTCAGGATAAGAGAAAAAACAGACTTTAACATTACTTACAAACAGGCAATTGTCTTAAAGTAACTACATATGATTATATAAATGCCAAAAGCAGTTGCAATATTTTTTTCAGTGTATTTGTATGGATCCACAGCCTCCACCTCAGTCCCCTCAAGTAGTACCGGCTTAGTCTTTGGTCTGTTCCTCCCAAAGTATATGACCATCTCCTTGAGATCTTGACCTTCAGGTGGTTGGTGCATCACCAGCTGGCAAGGTTCCCCACCAGACTCCTGTACCCCTCCTCTCTGTTGTGTCTGATACATCCCACAATGGCTGTGTCATTAGATTTAATTGTTTAATGTACATTAAACCTACACATCTGCACTTATCACAACATTTTACACCACCACAGGCATATGGCTAAACAACAAGGCTCATGGTTGTGCATA